TTAACACTGATCAAGAGTAAATTAGAGTACTGCAGTGTCGTTTGGAATCCGTCCCATATGAAACATACATCTAGTTTAAAAAATGTCGAAAACATTTTTTTGAAATATGCATATTTCAAAAAACATGGTGCTTATCCCGAGAGGGGTTATAGCTATGACTCATTGTTGAAAAAATTCCAAATGATATCTCTAAAAAAATTCAGGCAAAGCCAAGATATGTGTTTTGCATATAAAATAATACATGGACAAATAGATTGCTCGCCTCTATTGATTCTGTAGCACATTTCATATCCCGGTTTCTAATATACTGCATCATTTTCATTCTCCTATAACTAGAAGTGTTAATAATGTTCCTAGTGTAAACATGTGTTTCTAACGTTCAAACACTTCAAAAAAGAGATTCTTCGTTTCATTCAAAATTGATCTTACTAAATGCATAATTATCATATTTCTAATTGTATACACCTATAAATGGGATTTTGGGCCTGCTGGATGTATTGAATAAATAAATAAATAAATATTCAAGATAAATTTGCAGGCTACCTTCCTCTTTCTTTGTAAAATTAGCGATATAGAATAGAGTTTACCTTCCATGGCATGTCTGTATTTAGTGTTTCATGATAATGTATACATCATTTATTGATCAATATTCTGAAAAAGTTAGGATTCCAAAATTGTATTATTTATTATTGTTCAATCAAAACACTTTTGAGCATACTTCAAACCAATTGCTGGTCCAAATCAAGCCACAGAAAAATTAAAAAGTGGTCTTTGTTTCTCCACAGTGGAATCATTACAGGCACTATAGGTATATAGAATAAAATTTATTGATTATTTCTTTTTGTATTTTATGTCATTACACAGATAATGCAGATTTTGAAATAGATGACAGTAGGAGCTTTCATCAATCCAATTATAAATCTGATGCGTTTGTCATTGTCGAAGTAATCTCCAAAGAAAAAAGCAGTGAAAAAACAGTTTTAGGCTGATGTGCTTAGAACTGGTTCAGCCAGAAGAAAAGTAAATGTATTTGTGTTCCAGCTTGCACATGATGTTTTGGAAGTAAATAATTCAGATATTGTCACCTCTATGTAGCCATTTAAAGACACTAGAGGACGTTATACTAGTCCTCTTGAACCTTCCACCAAATTTCAGTCTTGAGCATTGAAATATCCCTTGAAATACATCAAAATAATTTTCTATAGTTGTGTAACATTATATCATCCCTATGTAAGGATATTTATCCGATAGGATTTTCCAATTTTAGCCAATGTTAGACTGGGATTAATTTAACAATTTTTGCTTCATTCTTAAAGGATTTTTGTGTTACTATTACTTTTTGTGTTACATTACCATGTTGGGTATGGGTAGTTTACGAAAACGAAATTTTCTTATCTTCATTCTAATTTAGAAAATATTTCAATATCGATATTTTTATCTGCTGTTTACAATGTTTGTATTATTATCGCTATCTTTTGTAGGTAGCCTATAGGTAGATAATGAAGAATGGTTTTCAGTTATTCAAATATTTACCTGGAGCAATATGGTAGAGATACTAAACATCATTTTTAGTCTTTACCTGCCGCTATTTATTGATATTCCATAAGAAGCTTCAAAAGCGAACTTAATCGAATCATAATGGAAAATAATGTAGCTGCCCTGAAAGCAAAAAACTGACAAACTCAAAATGTTGTCTAAATTAATCGCTCCACAGGGTGAAGTTGAAACTTTTTCAGTATATCGAATAGATTTTTGAGTTGATAATGTTTGATTCATATCTTCAATTAAAGTGTCAAATTTGATATGACAGAACAGTTAAATGAGAAGAAAAAAATGTTCTGAATTGAAATTGTTTAAAATTTCAAACTGAAAATGATAAAATTATAAAATGCAGTTTTTGTTTTCTCCTGTGCCTGGATTTTGATGACTCCTAATATCAAATATTTCACTTTTTTTTGTATGAAATCGGCTTTAATCAAATTTTGTATTTCTTATGGAGCATATTGTTACTGTTAAATGTGGTTCATTAACAGTTTAAACTGCATTTTTGAATTTAATATTCAGAGTTGTGGAAATAAAGGTCAGCGATTCTTATTACGAAAACAGTCTAAAATGTTTCTTGACAAAAAATTGAGTCAACGTGATCATTATTGGAGATACCGTATATAGATATTTCATCATTCAGTACGACAAAACATTAATTGAACAAACAAACGTCACAAATGTTAATGGTTAGGTGTACCTATCAATTATATGTCATGTCTTCAAAAAATATTATTCTTCGAACAAAATGTGCCTTCAACTTTCTAAAAATAGTTAATGAAGCTATTTGATATTATTCAAAAGGTTTCATTATAATGTCAATGTGTTTATTGTACAGTGTATACGAGGATTGTTCAAAAAATAAGCTGAATGTCCAAATTTCGCGGCCTTCGTACATTCGATTAGCGATTTTTTCATTTTTTCATATTCATACACTAGTCTCAAACATATGTTTGAAGTTTCAGCTATTTAGTTTGTTGGTGAGAGGCCTAAAAGTTAGAAGTGTTTGCGTGTTTTTCTGCAATTGAAAAAATGGATCAAAGAATTTGCATAAAATTTTGTGTAAAAAATGGAATTGAGTTCTCAAAAACACTTGAAATGTTGACGGTGACGTATATTTGAAAACTTCCTCCCATCAATATTTACCTACTATAGAAAATTCAAGGAAAGAAATACCACTTCGTTTTCAAGAGACTGAAAATACTCAAGAAATTAAAAAGGTTGAAATTAAAAAAGATAAAATAATTTATCATAAACTACTAGATTTACCCATATATTTTTGATAACAAAGTATTTTGTGATGAAATATAATTCTTAACAAAATATTTGGTGATAGAATATAATTTTCAAAGAGTATCAATCTATGAAATATTAATGAAGTTCTAATGTATTCAAAAACACTTTACGTTACATAAAAGGCAACGTTAGGTTGCTTTTATGTTTCGGGATTTGGCAACCCTAGTGGCTGGTTTATTTTGGGCAAAAAACCCAAGAGACATTTTTTGTTTATAATGAAACAGGCTATCGGAAATAAATTTTTAAATGGTAAACAAATAAAAAGACAAAAAGTTACATTGGAAATAAATTTTAGGGGTTGCGGTGTTTTGCATATAAAATAATACATGGACAAATATGAAACAGGCTATCGGAAATAAATTTTTAAATGGTAAACAAATAAAAAGACAAAAAGTTACATTGGAAATAAATTTTAGGGGTTGCGTTTTCCACCCCTTACAACCATGGGGTAAACCAAATACATTTCTGGCTAAGTGTCTTTTTGGTAGTACAAAACGTCAGGTTAATTTCGATATTGTAACTTTTTTAGTGCTTGTGAAAAAGATTGTTATACAAATTTTATATACCCCCTTTAAGGGGCTGTATCTTAACAAGGGATGCTCCAATGAAATTTCTTTATATGAAAGATCCTATCTTTTTTTCGATGAGGAATAACCTTAAACGTTTTACACTTATTCAGTTACACCCTGTATATTAATGAAGTTCATTCTCAAATTCATATTCAATTGTCCAAAAACTTCCACTCTAATTTCTCCACATCCTATTTCACCTCTACTATTTTTTGAAACCTTCTTGTTATGATTTATTCACAATAAATGTAGCACACCCAAATAAAAATAAATCTAGAAGAGTCAAATCGGATGATCATCGTGGTCATTCAGTTTGCTTGGCTTTGACCTATCTTTGAATCCAGATAGGTTCCTTTCAGAAATGAATTTGAAATATTTTTATGTATTTTGAAATTTCTACAGAGACTGAAATATTCGGGACATTCGAATTTGAATTGTATTGACCGATCATTGTTATACCATTTCGTATATTTTTTATAATATTTTTTTTATTTAAGTTTTTAAGGTAATTTTACGAGTTATATTATATCTCTGCACCCAAAATAAATCTGATTTTACTCGACAGAGACACCCAAACTTGCTGATTCGACTTTATCAAAAGTCTAACTTTTATTCAATAAAAATTTGGGAAAGTGACTAATTGATTTAACATTTATTAAGCAAATTTACATAAGAAATACATCAACTTTATCAAAAACTCTCTTGTGACTGACTGGTGGAACATTTTTCACCTACATCATGATTTATAATAAAATTTCCCCAAAACGTGATATATTACTTTTTGAAATTTATGGCTGGCCTCAGGTGGTGATTAAACTGTTTCTCATTGATATTGTGATCATAATCATGTAATGTGAAACGTTGAAATTATAAAGGTATGAAGATTTGGATCCACCTTCAACAGTAGATAAAATAAATAATTGAAACCAGTTCATCTAGTTGCCTTGCATTGAAGGCTTAGTCCGGGATCCCTCGCCCTTTTTCGTTATTTATTACTAATGAGCTGAATTTCCGTAACTAGCTTCATTTTGACGAGACGCCCAGTATTTGCCAGTACAAAAAATTCATAAGTGGTAGCTAACAGGGGGTAATAAGAACGTAATTTATTGACTTAGCGGTTGTCAAAAATTCATTACTAACTGGTTTTTTTCCATATAATTCTGAAAATTATCTGAATTACTCAAATAAATATTTGTCCCACAAAATACTCGATTTGATCAAAGAGGTCCCCCCTTTGCAACATGTACTATTTACAAAGACATGAAATATAATTACTAACCAGCTGAATTTTATTTGGTCAGTTAGTTGATATTTGTATAACTTAACACCCACATTGTCCTACAAATTGCGTGGTATGTTTTTCTGATCCGACAATCCAAAGTTGTCAATACCACAAGACCATTTTTTTTATTAGTAACCGTAGGACAAAGGTATCACGTGATAGATTAGTGTATTGTTCATCCAAATAAAACAATGTCCTACGAGAAAACAGGTATATAGGTCCTAGAATAATAGTTATTTTCGTTTTCCAATGTGAAACATACGTAAAGTGAAAATGTATTTTTTGAAATATATGAACTTTATTATCTAGAATACATGAAAAAATAATTAACATACATAAAAACTAGTATTTTCACATTAAAAAAGAAAAAAAATATTTTCATCTGACTCATCAGACAAATATTCATCATTGTCGCTGCTAGCATCACTCTCATCTTCATCAGTATCTTCTCCATTTTGTTCGTCTGTGATATCTAAATCTGTAATAATATGAATAAATTAATGAGTCGCCGAGTAATAAAAAAAAATTTCAATAATAATTATAGGTTACCTGGCAATTCATATCCTACAATATTTTTTTCAATACTTCTTCATTTCCATTTTTTGATTTTTAACCTTTTTCAAAAAGCGTATACCGTCCCCTGTTGATATCATTTTTTGTCTTTGAGAAAATGATAAATGAAGTATGTATGTACACTAGACACAAAAACTGCGTAATTAAAAAAAAATTGGATAATTTTCAACAGACTGTTACACGGAAGGAGATCGTCATGCAGTAAAAAAAATAACAGATTGTAGTCTCAAGTGTCTAGTTTTCGGATGCAACCAAAAAAAATTTTTATCATTTACGGTTTCGAAGTAATTCAGAGAGAACTACAGAAATAAAAAAATCACAAATTTAGCTTCTCTTGAAAATGGTCGACGGATATGAATTTTTTTTTCGCAATTTCACCTCATTGATTTTTCAGAAAATTTAATACCATTGAATTTGCGTTTTTGGAAAATTGTGTACGATAATTTGCCACAGAGATATCGTCCATCAAAGAAAAAAAGTCATTTTGAGCTTGGTCAATTTTTTAAAAAAAGCAAATTAAATGGTATTAAATTGTGTAAGAAAGCAATGAGGTGAGATTTTGAAAAAAAACAAATTTGAGATCCGTGGACTTTTTTGAGAGAAGCTTAATTTGTGAAATTTTGAAAAGAGAAATGAAAATTTCTGTTTTTTACCACTTTTATTTGTAACTAACGTTACTGCAGTTTCGTCCCATATGGATATTATCAAACTAATAGCGAAACACGTGTCGCGGTTTTTGTGAAACCCTTATAGTGAAAATCATAGAATGAACTCTATTTATTAGTTTTTTAAATATAGATTTTCATCAAATATCGGCCAGTTCTATTCAATTAACGAAACATATATTGAAACTCTGAGAAACCCTTGTTACATCTAAACTTAATGCTTGCTTTTTTATATTAAGGTTATTTGTAGTAAAACAGGGTCAGCTGAACTTAGCCAGTTTAGTTACCGATATTGTGGAACTTAGCCAGTTTAGTTACCGATATTGTGGAACCTCGTTTGATAGGCTTTATATTATTTTAGAGAATCTGCAATTCTGGGTCAAGTATCCTTGGAATTTTCTATTTTTGTATTTTTCACAGTCAAAATTTCGTGATTATTCGTTACTAACAAATTTAAGAAATTTATGTCCACATCCCGCTGATCTCTTCGTTGGGATATCTTAGGTAAATTCTTTTTTTTCCATCTCATTTGTTCATTTCGTTTGTTTCTTATTGTGTTTCAGTATGCGAGTATGCAAAAGGATACGTTTCCAAAATATTATTTTAAAAGAAGGCCGAAACTATTAGTTAGAAGTGATAGTTGAGCAATAGAAATAGAAAGTTAGTTTCTTCAATATTTATGATAATGTTTGAACATTTAACAATATATACCGTGGCTATAGAATGATACCCAACCATACAAGAAGGACCAGTAAAAACGATTCAAGGTCTATTTTATAGACCCGTACATTTTGAATGAGGAGAAACCTTTAAAAGATCATGAAATTATCTTTTCAACGACGAGCGAGATGCTGAAAAAATTGTTATAGTGTTGAGGTTTCTTCACTTCCAACACTGATTGTGTATTATGTGAGCAGCATCGTAAATTGTTTATGTTTGTTCATAATTAATGGATTGGAATTTGATGCTCGTAGCAAAAAATAATAACGCAGTTTTTTGGTATCTTCTGACGAAGGTAGAAATGATGAATTATTAACATTCCATTTATTGGTATTCTTGATACTGATATTGATACTGACAGACATTCTGCACAATAGTAACTATTACATTCAAATACCATTTGCCAGTATTTGAATGAAATAATTTGAGAGAAGTGGCCCGCAAGGTCACCCGATTTAGGACCGTAATTTATTTGTGGAGACTCCTTCGGACTTTTTTTATGGGGCTATTTGAAGCAAAAGGTGTACAAAACTGAACCTGCTTCAATATTGGATATACAGCAGAGAATAATAAATATTTGTAGAGATATTGACGTTACTGTGTTCGAGAATATTCGGCGTGAAATATCGAGCATCTTCTGAACTGACCTCAAGCTCATTATTTCATATTATATAGTTGAATGTCAATGTATTCAGGCAATTATATTAAAAGTTCCGCCATTTTGTAGTAGTTGAAGATGTTGACTTCATATTCTAGGGTTGTGAAGCATTTGTCAGGAGCTTCAAAAAGATTTTTTTCCCAGATGGTGCCCAGTCGCCATTTCGAAAGTTTCATCTGTCAATTTTACTTCAAAATAAATTATTCATGCATTAATTTCATTATCCCAAATTTCAATTTTTTGAGTTGAACCGTTCAAAAAATAAAAGGGAGGGGCACATCAAAGAAATACACTGTATACTTTACTCAAAACATTACGGTTATGCTCGGAAAAATTGACTTTTCCCCTAAAATGGCAACACAATAATTTCGGGTGAAAGTTAATAAACACTTTTTTCATGTGGCTTGTAATACTAACTTATAATATCATTTATCGATATCCACTGAATCAAACTGGTTCGTTTTCATTCATGCCCATCCTGTATTATATATAAATTGAAAAAAAATATTGAATTTCAAAAAGATGTGAGTATGAACGTGCAGCTTTCAATTTAATACTTTATTGGGTTCTTCATGATTTTTTTTACCATTGACCAAACTGCTGAATACTGCTGCACCGATGACCTCCGGTAATAGCAAGTAATCCGACTAAATATACACAAACGTAAAACAAATTTAGCACAATTGTAAATACAGACGTCGAAATTACAGCAAACAAAATGTGTCGGAAGCGGTCATACAAACAGGAATCACTTTACTGATTACTTTCAACATATAAATTTGAAGTGATGTGAGCATTTTAAGTACTACCAAAAGGAATAAGTGACCTGCACTTGAAATAAAGTGCGTTCATTTATTTTATCGGGAACGTTTTTTTATATGGATACAGGGTACATAAAAAGAAAATTACGACACGAAGCATAAACGATACATAACCCAATAAACTAGTAGAAATCACATACGATTTTTAAAATATTACCTACTTGTGGAATATTCATCTAGTATATATTTAATGCTAAACTTGTGTTTCAAACTCAAACTCTCTAGAATTTCAATTGAAACCTTAGGAAGAAATTTCCCGAATTCTGCAGAACTTCTTAGATCTTGCGAAAACTTTGAAAATGCCTGTTCAGTGAAAATTTCACAATTACTTTTTATTTGACTAAGACTGTCACAGCGATGATTGATCATACATATCGTTTTGAAAATTATAATAACGGAATTTCATTTGCAAATAAGGAATAGCAGAGCATGTTTGGACTCATCAACATAACATCAAGTGGGCTCAAGCTGAAATCATTCGCAAGGAGGAACACTAGTTTAGGAGAAAACTCACAGAAGCCGCATATATATATGTTGTCCAACAACGCATTTAGCCAAGCTGGCGTAGAGATACGCAACATATGGAAATCTCTAATCAAGCGGAACACGACTAACTCCCGCCAAACGGTCAGCTCTCGCTAAAACCGATGAAGCGGAGAGAGGGAAGAGGGTATAGGTGAAATCACTCGAATGTCTTATAAATAGTCAGATCTTGGAGGAATAAGTCCAACCTCCAGGGAGGAGTGTCCGCTGAAGAGCTACAATGAGTTTCCTCCTCGTATCAAAGCCTTGATACGGAAGAGAAATCGCCTGAGAAGGCTCTTTCAGCGAACCCTTTTCCCAGGAGACAAAATTGCGGCAAGCAGGATGGCCAACCAAGTTAAACAGGCCATCATTGATCACTGAAACGAAAGGTGGGACTAGCTCTTGGCGAGTCACCTGCAGACCTAGAGGGAAGAAGACTGCTCCCTCAGCCATTCACGAGAGCGCGGAGTGTGCTACTCCCCCGCCGACAAAGCGTTGGCCTTTGCCGACACGATAGAACGTCAGTTTCAACTTAACGTTAACGACAATGACATCGATCGCGATATTCTGTTGGAAGATCGGGTTCACCGTATCCTCGGGGAAGATGCCGACGATAACATCCGCCCGGCTTCTGTAGAAGAACTGAAGGGTTACATCAGGGCCTCAAATGCTAAGAGAGCTCCCGGGGTCGATTCAATAACCAATAAGTTGTTGAAGAGGCTCCCTGAAAACTGCGTTGAAAGCCTACTACTGATTATAAACAGTTCGTTGGCCCTCAGATACCACCCCAGGATGTGGAAGCCTGCGATCGTTGTCATGATCCCAAAACAGGGTCAGAACCAGCTGTTCTCGCAGAACTATCGCCTGATTACTCTGCTCTCATCGGTGGCTAAGCTGGCTGAAAAATCGTTCTACAAGAGTTCAAAGAAGAAGTCGCAGGAGAGAACACTGCACTGAGTTACGGGCTCTGAGACTGGTCGAAAACACCATCGTGAAACTGAACCAAAATCGAATCCATGTCGTTTTACTAGACATCTCAAAAGCCGAGGTCAGAGCGTGTGAAATCTCTGTACACCGATGACACGGCTCTCTTCTCATCTTCCACGGGTCGGGAGCTCGGCGTCGTCTACATGCAACGTGCATTGGACGACCTCGAGCGCTGATACCTCGAATGGAAGATCCGAGTGAACCCGGAAAATACTCAGGCGATAACCATGGGAAGAATGCTATCTTCTCCGGCCAGAAAAGTTAGGGCCTCTGGAAGGGAGATCGACTGGCGAGCTTCTAAAGTACTTCGGCCTCCTAATAGATTGTAGGCTCACCTGGAACCCGCACATCACAACCGTGAAGGCAAAGATCGAGGGTCGGATCAAAAGTATGTACCCTCTGATCAATAGTCGTTCCAAACTAAGCCTAAAGAACAAAATTACGATCTATAAAACGATGTTCAAGCCTGTCATCATGTACGCTTCAGGAGTCTGGGGACAACCGGCTCCGTGTAATATCTCCATTCTGG